GTATTATATGAAACAAATGAAAGCGTAAATTAGTCGTTAATATATGATGTACTGAAGGCAGCGGACGATTGCTGGAGGAGACGGTGCCCGTTCGGTTCGCACACATAAAGAGACATGTTCAAGTGAAATTGTTGTTGGCTTCGTTATATTCTAAAACCACTACCCACAAACGATGCGATTTTCAGGCGCCGTCGGTACAATAACTGCTGGACAGTATTTGCAAAGGCCTAGGTTGAGATTTTAATTTTTACAAACCAATGAAACGAAAATAAAAGAACCCATTGAAGATCAAAATACAAACACTGCATTTAGTTCGCACACTCCATACTCCACACTTCACACTCAACATTTCATTCCACACACACGCTCAGGCTCACACAACATTAGGCTAGCTAACTACGGATGCTTAATCTAGTTCCACGATCTGCAGCCGGTCCGTGGGATCCGGATCCGACTGGCCCTCCATCAGCTCGCCCATGATGAACATCTGATGGTAGTGTGGCCCCAACGTGGACAGTTTGCGCTGCATCAGGTGGCGCAGGGTGTCCACGTACTGTGGCGGCACCTTGGCTAGCGGCGTGTTCGTATTCCGCCAGTGCAGGCCGTTGTTGTCCACATGGAAGAGCGCCGGCGAGGGCACGTGGTCCTTAAGGTAGTTCCAGATGCACTCGCGCAGCAGAAGGGCGATCTGGAAGTGGGTTTCAGTGGTTTATAGTACAAAGTTTTAACAAATTTAAAGATATCCTACCTCTGCCGACTCAAAGTGCTCGATAATGAGATGCAAATTGGTAAGTGGCGGCGGTATCAGTTGGCTCATAGCCAGTAGCTGCAGCATCTTCTTGGTGCACAGCATCAGCTCATCGTTGGCAGCCGTGGGCTGGAATCTATTGACTGAAGGAGTTAACATTTTATTAGAAAAGGTTTTTAAAAGCCTTAAGTTCTTGAGTAAACCCACCATTCTTTCCCCGCCAGTGATGCAAGCAGGTGGCGCAAAGTGCCCGCAGTAGCACCGAGGAATAGCAAAGGGCCGGCCTATGACCGGCAATCAGTCCCAAAACCGCCCAGAGCACCGGCGAGGTGATAAACGCCCTTCTGATCTGCATGTCCCGCTCCATGGTGACCCGGGTGAACTCCTCATCCGGAAAGGGCAGGCCGTTGTACATGACATCCGTGGAGACCAGCTCGACCAGCAGCAGCGAGACCAGCGAGTAGCCCTCCACGTTATTAGGCTTCTCCAGATCGGCGCAGCAGGCATTCAATGCCTTAAGATACAGCGCCTGCTTCTCCGCATCGCAGCTTCGCTCGTTGGTGGGCAGCACGGGTCGCAGACCACGTCCTATAATCCCGGAATGCAGCACGGATCGATTCGAGTTTGCGCCAGAGCTTGTGTGGAGGTTCTGCAGGATGAGCAACTCGTGCTCGGGGATTTGCAGCTCGTCCAGTTCGTACTCCTCCAGTTGGCCAAGCAGATGGCCATGGTAGAAGAGGGCGCCCTCCACCAGCTCGCGTAGGCAGACTGTTCTCGCAATCTTCCTCGCGGAACACTGGCGCTGCAGCAGGGCATATGACCGATGAGAAGCCGCCGCTCGACGGATCACAGCTGTAACACAAAAGATTTATTATTACACATATGTAGAAGCAAATAAAGTAATCCTTACTCTGCTCAGTTAGGCCCACAAAGAAGTACTTCACGCTGAGCACGGCCAACTTAAGGACTAGGGGAGTTCGCAGGACATTGGTGCGGCTGCCGGCTTCAATGTTGTTCAGCAAATCCACAATGAGATGGGCCAAGCGCATACGGGTCACGTCTTCCTCCTCCGCCTTATCCTCGCCTGGCTCCAATTTTGGGCGCTTTCCGTAGTCCTTTCCATTGCACATGTCATTGTTGTTGTTATTATTGCTCTGCTGCGCCCTAAATTTCTCTGAACTGCGCTCAGCAGCATCTCTGTCCATCTTCAGAACCAATTTGTTGACGGTGCAGTCAAAGATTTGAATGATTTTGGGAAGACACTCGTTAAGAGCTTGGTTTAAATGCTGCGCTTTGATATAGGGAGCCACATTCTTGCTCTTGTGCATCCTGGGGGAGATTACCAAGCGGAAATGTTAATAGTGTTCAAGAAGGAATCTTATTTCTCTCACCTGGCCAGTATGTTGAGGTTGGAGAATGTGTTGAATGCTTCTGTGGGCGTGCCAGGGGGCACTGGCAACCGATTGTTGACCTGAACATGCAGCGTTATATCCTCCAAAACCATCTTGAAGCCTGGCGTGAAACCGGGAAAGTTCACCATGCCGCTTTGGCCGCCCAGCAAACGGATGAGGGCGCCAATACCATTGGGATTCTGGGCATACGACTTCTTTAGAAGCTGGGATATTGTCTGGTAGTAAATGTGTGGATGCTGGGAGGCTAGAAAAAGTAAAGAACGTTGTTTAATTGATCTTTAATGTAAATAAGTTATCTCTCTACTTACAGACCACCAGCAGTAGTCGCACCGCCGTTTGCTGCTCGAAGAGATTGGTGCTGAGGCAGCTCTTCCACAGCATATACTTGGTTTCCTCATAGGCCAGATCTGCCAGCAGCGGGAAGTTGCGCTGGTTGAGCACCCACTGTTCCAGCTCTTGCATGGAGTTGTCCAGGAAGTCCTGACACCAAACATACTTCTCGGCCATCTTGGCTGCCGTGAGTAGCAACGTGGCTCCATGCTCGTTCAGCCGGAGCACGGCGTTATTTAGCGTGGGCTGCATTCCTGCGAACATCTTGTTGCTCAGCCAAAGCGGCGACTTCTGCACAATCACCTCGCACATGTCCTCGGAATCTAAAAGAATGAATAAATCAAATTTAATTCCTGCTAATAGTCGAATGATAGACAGATAATCAACTAAATCTAAGCTTTAAAGGAGTAGTATACAATAAATTACTTAAATCGAATTCAAAAGGTTACAAAACAGTATTCGCAGTCAAAGAAATTGGAAGTTTTCCCAATACTCAACAATTTAGCTGCTAGTTTGGAACATTTTTCCCTTATCCAACTGCCACTTACATATTTCCACCAGCACATTGACCAAGCTCTGCAGGATCGTGTCCGAGTAGTTGGTGGTGATCAGCAGGAAGGGAACCACGGCCACGTCCAGCGGCTTCTTGGGCGCAAAGCCCTCCCTGAGCATCTCGCGGAAGGCAGCCCTCAGCTGCTGCTCGTGGCACGAGGTCATGTAGTCGAGGATGCCCGCCTCAGAGTCCAGATGACAGCGGTAGTCCTCGACGAACCGCTTGATGCCACACTGCAGGATCTGCATGATGATCTTGTAGGGAAAGCAGCCACCCAACCTGGCCACAATCCAGTCGAAGGTCATGGGAAAGCGATGGAAGGCATTCAACATGATCTCGACGCAGGCCTCCTCCTCCGGCTGGGTGAGCTTCCGGAAGCAGCTGTTGATAAGGGTCATCAGGCCGTGCATGGCGCTGCACTCCAGCCAGTAGTTGCAGCTGGCCGTGATGGTCATCCGCCTTTGGGTGTACTTGTCGCTCAACTTGGCCACCAGCTCCAGGCTCCAGTTGGCGATGAGGGGCGACCAGGCGGGCGGACCCTTCCACACCAGGCTCTGCAGCGCCGTCTTGACCAGGTTGAAGCTCTCGTACTCCGGCGCCCGGAGTTGCTGCTGCCGATTCCCGGCCTGCTTCACCTGGGACACCGGCATTCCGGTCTTTGAGTCGGCCATCTCGGGGGACACATACAGCTGGACGCTGATCTCGGCCAGCAGGGCGAAGTACTCGAAGACTATGTCCCGCGTGGCAGGAAGCTCCTCCAGGAATCCTAGCCTGCGTGGACCAAAGGTATTTGTTGTTTACCACGGACTCTGAGGAAGTTTAGCTGACTACTCACGCGAGCTTGATGAGATTGGGGCTGGTCAGCAGCTGGGGGCAGCTGTGGCCATTGCTCACCGTCTCTATGAAGTGCTTAAGCTGATCCAACAGGTTCTGGCGCAGCATTTTGTGGTTCTAGGCATCGGATCGGGAAAGTAAAAGTTAAAAAAGTAAAGCAAAAGAGCAGAGCAAATGCCTTGCGATGTCAGCCGGTATTTCGAAGCCGCAAGCAGTTGGGCACACCAAGCCAACGGTCACACTGTACCTCTTTGCGTTGTTCAACACTCTTGCAGAACTGTTTACTCCGCACTGTTAGCCCTTATAGTCTATTCACACAGAAGGGGTTTCCGATTCAGCGACCAAATTCAACGAATTTTTCTAATATAAGAAATACACGTTCTAGAAAGAGACCGGAAGAAGTCGATAAAATTCGCTTGGCGTTTCGGGAGTTTTTTGAGTTGGAAATGCATATGAATTGTAATGACGCCGATATAAGGAAATTGTTGTTGGCACGGTTCCGAACCCAATTAATCTCATCGCGAATAGAGATGTTGCTGCTCTTTTTTAAGGAAATTACCAGTCTCCAGCTTATGTCCTTGCTAATAGCAATGTAATAATTTCACATGCTAGCTTTCAAATTGTATTTAGTTTTGCGTTGAGTTACATTTTATTTGAAGCAACTGAATTTGCATGTCCTTTCTCTTCAAATATGTGACCAAGAATCCGTGTGCAGAGGCTATTAAGCGAAATGCCTTTTCAGCAGCTAGCCGCTAAATGGCGTATTAGGAATTAGCGAAACTAAATTGTATTCATTTCATTCTTCATCTGCAGCCATTCCTTTATCAATAGCAAACTATTACTTTTCTAAGTACTAAATTCGGAGTATTAATATTTATGGTTAATAAATGGAGACAGATAACAATTTTAAATTTGGGGCCCAATTTGGTTTAAGGCGAAAAGATGGCTCAAGCGTAGGTGTATGTCCTTGCCGTTTCTAGAATACATTTCGAGTTTTTCAGTATATACCAAAAAATATAATTTAAAATACCAGGAGGTTGTCTCCGCTATGCCAGCGTAGACACTCACCTGACACTTAAGTGTGACCAACTAGGGGATTTTTGGTATATCCGAACAAATAAAGATGGAGTATATAATATTCAATCATCGAGGTCAGGCCAACAGCGTCGGTCGGAAAGTAGAAAAATCACAATTATCCGGGGAGATATTAGTCGAAAACTAACGCGGGTCCCCAGTAAATATGCGCAAGCGTAAATTGTACATACAGTGAAACGAATGCAGCCAGCGTGCGAAGCACTAAAAGCGAAAAACGCCAGAAACAGAAACAAGAAGGAATTGCAGCGTGAGTGTATAACTTTTTGGTTTTTGCCCCCGCGCTCTCTGTCTCTTGCTGCTCCTGCTCTTGCTCTCTCTCACTCCTCTCTTTTGCCCTCTTGCGGCTTCTGTGTTGTCTGCGTGCGAGTGTGTGTGTGTGTTTGAGTTTTTAACAGTGACGGTGTGTTCTCACGTACTCCGTGGATGATTTACGGCCTTGCCAAGGAAATCGGACTATATATCCCGGCTATAGCCCATATTGGATCCCGATCTGGATGCGAGGCTGTTGCCGCTGCTCCCGCTGACACCGACCCCCCCTTTTTATCGCACTTTATGCAACAACGAAAAGCAAACCGTCGTGTGTTGAGTTTCTGCGCTCTCCGCTGTGTGTAGTGTGTTGGGTTTCGCGCAGCGTGGTGAGTTGCCGTCGTCTGTTTTTCTTTTCCCTGCGTCTTGTGTGCGTTTCAATTAAATGCAAAATCGGCTGCGAATATCGCGGAAATGCGGATTCGCTCATGCTTCATATACAGACATAAATAAAGTATCGAATCAAAACAAAAATCTGCTGGCAACAACAACAAAAACGTGCGTGGGTGTGCGCGTGTAGTGCGCTTGTGTGAGTGTGTGTGTGTATGGTGGGGAGACGGCATTTTTCTTTACCACACGCCTCTTCTTCCCCACAATACGCTGCAATTTGTGCGATTCTGTTTTGCGCCTGCCATTCGCAATAATTTTATTGAATGAACCGCAAAAGAGACGGCCCAAAAAGCGATGTACTTGCCAGACGTTGTGTCTGTGTTGGTGCGTGTGTGTGTCTGTATCGCGTTGTGTGTGTATCGCGCATGAAAATACATCAACTGTCAAGTACAAAAAAAAAATTTCTAAAAAATAAAGGAAATTGGCTGACATTGCAATTGCACCGGAGAGTGTTTATAATTGTGAAATTTTCGAGTTCTCCACCAGTCTCTTTCCCCAACTTCCTTCCGTCCTTCCCTGCCCAATACCACCCCAAAAAATTGCATACATGCACACGCGCCTTCGATTGTGCGAATGTGTTGGTCTGAGCGCGCGCGTATTCTGCACACATTGTCATGCATGCAAAAACAAGATACGACGCGTTCGTAATCGTCAGACTCCTTATCCCCCTTCGCTCAGTCCTTCTCTTTCTGGCCCTGCATTATTCATTGCAGGATGAAGAAGGCAAAAAGTTAACGAAAGGGAACAGGCGCGAGTCCAATTTGGACCGCTTATTTTTTCCTATGGAGTCCTGCATCCGCATCCTTTGCTCTTCTCATCCCTGCCCACCTTTTCGCTCTCTCCTTATTCACGCCTTCCCGGACACTTGCAGCTTTCGCGCGCGTGTGTGTGTGAAGAACAGGAAGAGAGAAGCGAGACTCCAACTTAGCATTTACAGTTGCGGTTCAAATAGTGCATAGCTGTAGTTTTATTAACCCGAAAAGGATTACGGGATCACTTTGGGGCCCGGTACCAGAGGTCAATATATATGAGGTAGTTAGACTTTTTTAATTCATGAAATCCTGATTTCCGAACTGCTACCCAGTAAGTTTTCTTACTTCCTTAAAACTAGTCAGATTCTAAAAGTTTTGAGGATATTGAACCTCCATTATAAAGGTTTTAACCAGTGTATGTAGATATCAAGATTTAAATAAGCGATATACAGCCAGTCGACAATTTATGATAATGAAATTATGATCATGTACACGTTTTAGTCAAAATATACAATCCCTAGCCTTATGGATCCTTAAGGTTTTTTTTAAATATCTTTGTTTCTATAATAACCGAGCTTTGAATAAAATTATGCATTAGACGCTTAAACTACAAATTCAAATACTTGATGTACACAATCCCAATCAACAATCTAAAGAAAAAAATCAGGTCAAAAAAGATCTTAAGATTTATAAACTGACACGTGTAATTTATCAGGAGGGAAACAGAATCAAAATGACAAGTATCATTTTCGTAGCTGTATCTCTTTCTTTTACTAACCAATAAAAACTAATTGTTGCTGGGGCGAAAAATACTGCCAACTTGTCATATTTGTCGGACTTTATCGATGACTCGACTCCAGGGCAGTTTTTCGCACACAGATTTTCTCTCGGCACCTTGGCAGCCTTCTGCTGGTTATTAATAAAAATTAATAATAACCAAATCTCTGGCGCTGGGGCACTTGGACATGGGCATTCTCGTGTATTTCGCAGCTGATTGCGTAAACCGCTCGCGACGTTTGTTTTGAATTGCTGCTTTTGTTTTGGTACCGATTCGAGGGTCTACGAGTGTGAAATCTCTGGCTCTCTCCCTCGGCTCTCGATTCTCCATTCTACATTCTCCGGGTGTTATCAGTGCGGAATTGGCCTATGGCGCTTTATGGGAACTGGTATGGGGTAGTATTAGTATATGTAGGTGTAGTATAGTATTTCGGTTCGTATCTGGGATCTTAATCGCTGTGCAAATCGTGTTGAAACTGCGGAGCACGCGTTTTCCCCCAACTTCTTGCAACCTTGGTTGGGCAGGGCGGTGGGTGGTGGGGGTGATTAAGTGTGGCGGGGTTCTCGCTGTCGATCTGAGGTGACGTAAATGTTTGCGGTGGATAGCGCCAACTTTGAGGTGGCGCTCTTCAACGATGACGTAGCTAGCGCTTCTTCTGTTTACTCGCACATTATTTTGCACTTGCCCATTGATTTTCGCCTTGCACAGAAAGAAATGATGGATGTGATACAAATTCAATTTGAAGGAATTTAGTTGGCTCAAAAATCGAGGTGATGATGACATAATATATTGAAATCCCCTTATATTCAATTATGTTCATACTATCAATTCATTTATTAAAATACATAATAACCCTTAACTACGATATGAAATCTCAAAATATTTACTTAACCCCCTAGCTTTGAGTAAATATAGAGCTCAGTTTTTTGATGTGTATGAGAATGGATAGTTTACTGCTGGCTCCCCACTCTCTGAATCTCCCGCTCTCGCCGCTGTTTGTTTTCTTCGCGCGCGTGTTTGCACTCGCCGTGGGGCGAAAGCGCAGCGATAATAGTTGCTCGGATATAGTATATACGCCATATAGTAACCCCACTCATACCGAAAACCCCATCGCACAGATACAGACGCGCACACTGCGAAAGGCCTAGATCTAATGGAAAACGCTTAATGTTTGTAAACAGACCGGGCAAAGCACATTTCTTTTCCTTTATTTTTTGGCATATCGCATCTCAGTCGGAATGGTCTTCACTCGGCTTCTCTCTACACATCTTTCTCCCCCAAACACACACACTACGAACGTTGCTTTCACATTTTCATTCATCGCGAAACTACCCATGAAATGTTGCAGAAACCTTAAGATAAGATATACGATGTGTTTACAAGACCCTAAGCTCAATAGTAATATTATAACCATAAATTACCTACGACTTTTCCGTTTCGTAAGACTATGAAACAAATTCAACGTGGTATTAATTTGTGTTGCGAATAATTGCTGTTATAGATGCAAAATAATAAAATACTGCTTACTACTTTAGCGGGAAATAATTATATTGAACTACTAAACTAGTGAATAATTAAAGAAAACCAGAAAAACATACTTATATTTAGTTAAACAATCTAAGCTGCACTGAATATTACATTTATATAGCAAAGAGACAGTTCCAAAACCTGTACCCTGTATCTCCAGAGATTTTCTGATGTAAATAAAGTACACTCAGGATTTACTGTCCATAATATTTGTAATTACGGGAAATTCCTTTTATTGTCAGATGATAAAAAATCTTTGTCTAAAAACATTCTATAATATTTTAACAAAATCTGTGTTATTATCTTGCAGTGCAGTCACGTCGTGGGCCAATCCCAATCCCATTAGTCCCCACCCGGAGCTGGAGTGGTAGCCTAACATGGATATAGAAGTCAAGCATAGAGATTAGCCGAATCCTTTGAATTTTAAATTCAAGATCCTAATTTAATATAGCCAAGTAGCATAGCGTAGTCTATAGCCCCTAGCCAGCGGAACGGTTCCAAGCCGCAAGCAACTCGCGTTCGTAGTCCAGATCGTTCCTTAACCGAATCCCCCGGACACCAGCGAAAAAAACCACAGAGGCACTTCGAGGAGCAACATCATCATGACGACCGACACCCGCCGACGCGTCAAGTTGTACGCGCTGAATGCGGAGCGCCAATGGGATGACCGTGGCACGGGTCACGTGTCCTCCACCTACGTGGAGAGGTTAAAAGGTGGGTGTACAAAGTCAACCAACCCCCCTCGGAGTGTGGTCTAAGTTTCTGCATCCCTTAACTACTTCCAGGCATCTCGCTTCTGGTTCGCGCCGAATCCGATGGATCGCTGCTTTTGGAGAGCAAGATACAACCGGACACCGCCTACCAGAAGCAACAGGACACACTGATTGTGTGGTCCGAGGGCGACAACTTTGACTTGGCCCTGAGTTTCCAGGAAAAGGCGGGCTGTGACGAGATATGGGAGAAGATATGTCAGGTAAGAGTTGTTTAAGCTGCAGCTTTTTGAAAAAATAGCTACCGTTGATTTATATGTCAGTTCATTTAAGACGTGTGTCAAACGACATCTCTATGTTGCTCGGGCATTTTGGTATTAACGACAATCCTAAACTAATGATTTTCCAGGTGCAAGGCAAGGATCCCTCTGTAGAGATAACACAGGACATTGTCGAAGAGTCTGAGGACGAGCGTTTTGAGGATATGTCGGACACCGCGCCACCCATTGAGCTGCCACCCTGCGAGCTTTCCCGGCTGGAGGACATTTCGGAAACGATACAGAGCTGCCTCTCTACGCCGCTGCGCAAGGAGAAGCTATCAATGGCCCTGGAGTCGGAGAGCTATATCAAGAAGCTGCTGAACTTGTTCCACGTGTGCGAGGACCTGGACAACACCGAGGGTCTGCACCACCTCTTCGAGATCTTCAAGAACATTTTCTTGCTGAATAAGAACGCGCTCTTCGAGATAATGTTTGCGGATGACACCATCTTCGATGTGGTCGGGTGCCTTGAGTACGATCCGAGCGTGGCTCAGCCCAAGAAGCATCGCCAGTATCTGAAGCAGTTGGCCAAGTTCCGCGAGGCGGTGCCGATCAAGAACCAGGACCTGCTGGCCAAGATCCACCAGACGTTCCGGGTGCAGTACATCCAGGACATTATCCTGCCCACGCCGTCGGTCTTTGTCGAGGACAATATGCTGAACACTCTGTCCAGCTTCATCTTCTTCAACAAGGTGGAGATTGTCACAATGATCCAGGACGATGAGCGCTTCCTGCTCGATGTGTTCGCGGTGCTGACGGATCCCGCCACCGGCGATGCGAAACGCCGCGACACAGTCCTCTTCCTGAAGGAGTTCTGCAACTTCGCCCAGAACCTGCAGCCGCAGGGCAAGGACTCGTTCTACAAAACTCTCACCTGCCTGGGCATCCTGCAGGCGTTAGAACTGACACTCGTGATGAACGACAAGAAGACCAAGTCGGCCTCCATCGATATCCTCACGGCCATCGTTGAGTTCTCGCCGTTGGTGGTGCGCAACTACACGCTCAACCAGGCCAACAGGCCGGAGGGGGTAAGTTAATCTTCAGAATCTTATAGTTCTCGCCTACTTATTATGGCAGATATCTAATATAATATCAATCTTGGTGTTCTAATACATGATTACTGTTCTTTACATTTGCCTACACATAGGAGCGTATGCTACTGAACATTGCCATCGAACAAATGCTGAACGACTCGGAGCCGGAGCTTGGTATTGCGGTGCAGCTGATGGGAATCGTTAAGATCCTGTTGGAGCCGGAGAACATGCTCACCGAGAAGGGCGATTTTCTCAACTTCTTTTACAAATACAGTGTCCAGACGTTAGTGGGTAAGTACGACTTCAACACCATCACACTTTCAGCGACTAACTACTCGATGTTTACAGCCCCATTGATGCTTAACACCATGGGCGACCGTCCGCAGAACGAGGACTATCAGACGGCCCAGCTGCTGGGCATCGTCCTGGACATTCTGTCGTTCTGCGTGGAACACCACAGTTATCACATCAAAAACTTTTTGCTGCAAAAGGATCTCCTCAAGCGAATTCTGGTGCTGATGAAGAGCACACATACGTTCCTTGTCCTCGGCGCCCTGCGACTTCTGCGCAAGATAATTGCACTCAAGGATGAGTTTTACAACAGGTGAGTGTGACGTGATTAAATCAAATGCGGCATTGCTAACTGGATAATCCCTATCCGCAGACACATTGTAAAGTGCAATCTGTTTGCGCCGGTGGTGGATGCCTTCATCCGCAACAACGGCCGCTACAATCTGCTGGAGTCGGCCATCCTGGAGCTGTTTGAGTTTATAAAACTCGAGGACATCCGTACTCTGTGCGTTTACTTCGTGGAGAACTTTAGCAAGATATTTGATGAAATCGAATATGTGCAGACATTCAAGTACTTGAAGAATCGCTACGATCAGTACCAGGATCGGCTAAAGGACCGCGACAAGATGGAGAACCGCACGGACGGGTAAGTTTTGCTTTAGCGCCTTGTGCTCCAACACAAAGTGAAAATATTTGGGTATATCATCTTAAAGTGGCCTGCCCATCATCCGTAGCGGTGGCCGGTTTCGTCGGGATCAGCGGCAGATGGAGGAAGAGGAGGAGATGTGGTTCAATGAGGAGGACGATTTCACTGAGGAGATCGACACCTACAGCAATGTCATGAAATGTAAGTATATTTAATAATTGAATACTTAAATTTACTTGGAATAACGATGTAAACAAATATGGGTCATCATTCATTTGGGGTTTGGAGAAATATTACATTTATGTTTAAATTATTAATTCAACGTTCTTGCCTTGCAGCCGTCAGCGAAAAGAATGGCCCGCAAACGCAAAACCAGCAGAAATCCTCTCCGCCGCACAGTACGTCGCCGCACAGTGGTTTGCTGGGTAACCTGAGCACCACCGCGTCATCCACTGCCACATCCGCCTCGTCAGGCGCTCCAGTGGCCAGTGGCAGCAGTAGCCCCGAGGCGATCTCAGCCGACGAGCAGACGCAGACGGCAGTGCATTTAGTCGCCGCTGCCAACATCGCACTTCAGCACCACCAGCAGCAGCAGCAACAGCAGCAGAACCCATTCCAGCAACAGACCCAGCCCGAAATCGCGGAGCTGCAACAGCAGCTGCGCGGCGTGGAGACGCCACAAAGCCAGGACCTGGAGCTGTCGCAATCGGCCGTAGCCAGCGTATCGCCCTCTTCGTCATCCTCGTCTCTGGAGGCATCCACGTCCTCTTCATCGGCGTCCTCGTCTTCATCCTCGTCGTCATCGTCCTCGCCGCCCGGGTCATCCTCGGCCGCATCTCTTTCCGACTCGGCGACAGTGGCGGCCGTGGCAGCTTCTCAGTTTCTCTCAACGATCGCCACGGCCATGGCGGCGTCTGTTACGGCGGCGGCGGCGGCCACAAGCGGCTCCCCCAACCTGTCGCCAGCTCCGGCTGTCTCCAGTCCGGATATCGAGAGCGCCGACGCCCAGTTGCCGCCCAGCGATGACGCCAGCAGCCCGGTCAGCGGGGATCAAGATGCGAACAGCGCGGAAGCTGCCAGCAGTGAGGCAGATAAGGCGACGGGCAAAAAGGTGTGTTGCTGAACCCAATAATGTTAATTATAGGCAAAGAAAACACCGACCATGTTTAATTTTTTTAATGTTACGACTACAAATTGTAAACATAAGTTTAAAAATGCTCTTTAGGAATTTTAGTTACTTTTTGTATTTATAATTTTACCTAGCATAAGAAGCATGTAGTTTTTCTATTCATACGAATCTATTTACCATTCGCAGGGTCTGGTGGACTACGAGAGTGATTCTGGCGAAGATGACTACGAGGAGGACGAGGACTCCGAGGGGCCACAAGCACAAAAGCGCGCGCGTCTGGCATAGTTGGCAGATGATGAATACAGCGGCATCAATTATAAATTAGTACACACATAACAGAACACAACCAACCACGGCATACAACAAACAACAAGCAACACACAGACCCCCAACACACACACCAACGAATGTTAGGATCGCATTGGCGGCAACGACAGGACAGCACAGCAGACAGCCGTACGATGTAAGATCGAACAAGAAAGCATACAATTAAATTTTAGCATAAAATTTATTTTAAAGGAGGAGCAAACAACACCTAAAGTAAACGAGAAATTATAAATCTTACTTTACTAAATTAAATAACTACATATAAATATATATATTCAAATATATATGCATATGAAAACACAGCTAACTATAAATGATCAGCATCCACAGGCAAAGATGCAGAGATGCAAACGAGTGCGTGTTGTTCGCGAGTTGGCAAAGCATTAACGAAACAAACCAAAATAAAATGTATTTAGTAGTTAAATCCCACACAAGAGAAACGCAGCAAAAAGGAGGAGGTGCCGTCAGGTGGTGGAGGACATTTGTACACAGGCAACATCCATTCGCAATGTCCCTAGTATATCAGCAGTTAACAGATCCTGTGAAGTTGGCTGCCGGCTTAGAATGTCGGTATTTGAAGGACAATTAATAAAATTGTGTCTTGCGCCTAGCTTAGTTGTAATGCTTAGAGTTAATCACTTTTACTATCATTACCTATGAGAACGATTTCCTGCCAATTGCACCACTATCACTCGTAGCGCTGTTTTCAACTGACAATTTGAGTAAACACTTCTTATCGCAAAAGCCTTTATAAAAGTTTCTATTGCAAACAGCGCTGTAACATCTTAAGCAACGTACATCTGTGTTATGTTACTAAATTTTAAATTTTGAACTATTCCTAAAACAGTAAAATTTGTATCAATTGTTTTTTTTTTGTTTAATTGTTTTTTGAATAACAACCAGAAGCCATGGTTGCCAACTTGACAAAAACTGTTAATCCCTTGAGTTAGACGCAGATAACACTTGAACCCAATGAACCTTGTATATAATTTAGTCAGTCTCAATACGCGATTAGTTGATAACTGCCCTAGCACCACTGACGCCCACATTAAGCCCAAACAATTGATCTTGAAGGAATCGAAGGTTTTGCACATTATCGAGCAGATTGAATTTCAAACTCTTGTGGGTGATAACTTGAGAAGCGTTGTCTGACTGTGTAATTAAAAACAATTGTTGCGCTATCCTTGCATTATTGAAACACACTCACCACAAACACATCAATAAATAACTAATTATAATGATAACAAATAGATCGTAAAATAAAACTAAAGTGGGGTAAAAAAACATCAGCAAACAAATAACAATAACGTAAATTAAAATAGTCTCTTCAGTTCTCGTGTAAGTTTTTTTTTTTCATATTTAACGTTTAATTTGTATTGAACGACTGTAGATGGGCTCACTTGGAACCACTCCACTCCACCCACAAACGCATAAATACGTTCGCCCACGCTATAACCAATCGACATCCCACAACCACAATGACAGAAAGTAATAAAGTTATTTGTTAATAATCGTATTTGCCATGTGCGTTGCGTACTGTACTACATTTATTTATTTTAGTGTTTAAAAGAACTTGTCACTGCAAACGGTTTCCCTTGAGCAACCGATCGTTTGTTCCTCTCCCGAAGCCCACGATCTTAAGAATACACCCATGATAAAGCCGCGGAGAACGTATCCATACATATATCCTTCCAAGTTGATGTTTTGTTTGATTGATTGAGCAACATTAACAAGACGCATTCGCAAAGTGCATGAACAAGAATGATGAATAAAAATAAAGAAAATGATAATGAAAACTAAACGTAAACGTAAAGCGACAACACTATAGTTTATACATAGTATTTATATGAATCGTGTATTGTATATGATATGCTGTCTAATCCCTAATCCTAACACATACCCATTACGTCTATAATTTGAATACTTTATTTAGTTGTTTAAACATCCGTGCGTAAAATGCGATATATATAACTCTATATTATTATTATGAGTAAATTAAATAATAGTTTTTAATAGTTTTTAAACAGAATCAAATGGCTAAGCTCTCAAAGTGTTCTTTTATTTACTATATATGAAACACCTGATTGTCAGGTGTCGGGTGGTTTTTCACTGTCATGGTAACCGATTCAAGGACCAAACAAATGTTTCCAGCAAATGTTGACTAAACTTTTCGGTTTAGTCACTTCTTTGAACTGTAACCAAAATGTCGGTGGAAGACTCCTGGGTTTTTGATTCACTGGTGTGCTTTCTGCACGGCCCCATCTGGAATGCTCCGCTCCAGACTTTTATCGAGCAAAAGTCCTTAGGTGAGCACCCATTCTGACAATGGAATCCACAATAACCCAAGGATTTGGTGCAGTCTTCGATCCCAATCTGCCGATGGATGAGAACAATCCAGACATACTTCAGATCCACGAGGAATACAAGAATCTGGTGGATTACATGCTGGGCAGCTTTATGGAGGAGATGCAGATATCGCCGGAGCAGTTCGAAATGGCCTGTCTCGAGGGTCATCAGCAGGGGCAGGGCGAGAATCCCTTCCAGTTCCACCAAGTGCTGTTTCAGCAGGTACGTCCGGTCGCAGTCTTCAACGCAATAGTGTTCTCGAGGTGTCATCTTTCAGATATGGGCCGCCAACGACATAAAGATATTCATACGCATGATGACGCAACGTAATGTGGAGCTTCAGCTACAGGCCCTGGATCTCATCGAGAAAAATCAATTAGCCCAGAGTACCGCCGACGAGGGGGATGACCGCAGTGCGGACGCGAGCTCGGATCCAGGGTGGGTTTCGGTGGTTCCCCGTCAATAAACCTGTCTTATGCAATTGCGGGAAAAATACTATTTGGTTTTCGCACAGTGCCAAAAAGTTTTACACATATTTATTGGATTTATTTTATACTAGTTTGGCTAGGTTGTTCCTATATAGTTTTGGAATCTATTTCTGATTTTAATTTAACTCAAAAACTGCATTTCTAAAAAGTTATACAGTTAAGGGTCAAACTTTAAACGATTAAGACTTGTTTTTTCTAGGATTTATTCGCACTTACCATCAATACAAAGTTAGAGTCTTGTAAAGCCTTATAAGACGATACAACTATACGCTGAACATCTTATTCTTAATTTTTGCCAAGTCCTAATACATAATACTTTCCACAGTGATACCGCCTCGGAGGTGGAACAGTTGATAGCCAAGACGGTGGCTGACGAACTGGAGAGTCCGGAAGCGGCTCTTACTCCAGAGCAGGAGCCCAATATGGAACTGGTTAATGACAAGTTCCAGCGGCTGAATCTGTTCTTCGAGCAGGAGGATCATGTGGACCCCAGTGACGTGGTCTCGCGACAGGAGTACCTGCGCCAGCAACGCGACAAGATCGTGGAGATTAAGAAGCAGACACGCGCCAAGCAACTGCAGGAGACCATGTCCCGCGGTACTCCGCATGCTCCGGAGGGAGCACGTCCCAGCTCCGCATTGGTGGCCCAGCAGCTACTGGAGAATGGCGGCCAGACCAAGGAGCTCTCGATGCCAGCACCTCTGGAGGCCGAGGAGAACGCTGCCCTCCAACTCAGACGCAATCTGGCCAAGCGCTTGCGGAGCGAAGTGGTGGAACAGAAGTGAAAAACAGGACACACTACTATTCTCTACTATTCCCATTTATTGCAGATGCTCAGCCAGAATTAACAACGTGCATAAGGTATTGCGACATGCAGACTAGTTCGTTTGGTGGATGCACAGGGTGTGTCATATGTTGTACTTGTCTCGTCTCCACTCGTCCATGTCCACATACAACCCAGATTCAATGGTAGTGGATTGTGTGTGGACATGGTCAAGGGAATCTCTAATAATTTCCATTAAGCTTTTCCTCAAAATAAACATATTGCTAGTGAAGTGTTTCCCAAAAACATTGTGTTGATTGCTCTTCTATGTTGGTATGCGATCCCGCAAGTAGGACATGATGGCATCGGTGCCCTTCATCAGGATCTGATGGCGGGGCTGGCGAAAAGGATTGCCCACCAGTTCCAAGTGTCTGAAATTTAAAAAGGATATATATTTGCTCATACGAGTATTAATTTCCAATCTGGTTCTTACGTTATGTTGGTCAGATTCCCCAATGTGGGCGGCACTGCATCAATATCATTATTGCGCAAATCCAATGTACTAAGACGTGGCATGCTCTGCAAACCCGATACATTTAGTGTTTTAATGTGGTTCTCACTGGCAATGAGGATCTCTAGACCTTGCAACTCGTACACACAGTTGGGAATGAACGGGAAACTGAGGATTCAAAAAGAAGGAGATAATCAAATGATCCTAGAGGATATTTTCATATGATCAACTCATACTCACCGATTGTTGGCAATGTTGAGTTCCCGCAGAGTGTTCAAAACACCAAACTCCTTGGGCAGGTCATTCAACAGATTGTTGGACAAATTCAGGAAAGAAATACGTGTAAACTGGGAGATAAACTGTGGCACATAGCCGATGACATTGTTGGATAGAACCAGCTCCGTGACCAGATCATGCATGAGCTGCAGTCTGTAAGTAATTGAATATTGCATAATTAATCCATGGGCTCCATTGGATTCCTTATAGCCTACCCATTGGGCAAGGTGCTCAGCTGGTTGCGCGCAAAGTCCACCACATGCACTCCTTCATCTCTGGCAATCTGGAACACCTGGTCGGGCACTTGAGTCAGATCCTCCAGGTTGACAGCTAATGTACGTGTATGACGTAATTTGTATCTACAGGAGGAAGGAAAGATTGAAGTAAGCATTAAGATTGCCAGAATCTATACGATGCAATTAATGGAAATTTTGTGAATTTTGGAACTTGGTGATACACTACACCCAACGTGGATGGACAGCTAAGTGAGAGGAATCATGCTGCCCATAGGAAAACTGCGTATGTTGCTGCTGCTGGCACATAAAGTAATTTGGATGGGGATATTCTAGTCGCTGCTGTTGCTGGTGCTGCATGAAAAGAGATCTCATGTTGCCAATTTGATGCTGCTGCTCGTAGCTCTCAGGCTCATAAATGTGTCCCTGCGTCTGGCGATCATATTCCTGGCAATTTCTGAGCGGTTCATACACACAACAGTGCTGCTGCATTTGCTGCTGACATGGATATGGACACTGATATTTGAACCCATCCTGCTGTTGTGGTTGATGATAGCTACTGCTGGGGAGATCAATCTGCTGTCCCGTCTGAAAGAAAAGCTCTATATGCATACCTATCCGGAAAGTTGCCGGGCATATCCCCAGAGTCCGATTGGCCACCACGCAAACGGGTAACACTGATGCCAGGTAACTCTGATGTGAAGCCGCCATCGTAGCCACCTCCCTCCTCCTTGGCCTTGGCCAGCGCTCTCTCGTGCAGCGTCTTTAAAATCCGCGCCGTTCCACACTGCAGGATGTCGCGTCGGATCATCTTTATGGGATTTCCCTCCACCTGCAGGCTGATCAGGTGGGCCAAAGAGGACAATGTGACTGGCAGCACACTGATCGTATTGTTGGACAAATCCAGGCGGTTCAGATTGCGCAGCAGGCACAGCTCGTCGGGCAGCTCTGTGATTTTGTTGTCCCTCAAATCGAGTATCTTCAAATGCGGCAAGTTGCCGCACATGGCTTTTGGTATGGTCTGAAATGGGTGAAATAAATATAAGTATCTCAAAGAATAATTTAGACTATAACTTACCTTTATAAAATTATTGCTGGCATGCAATTCGCTCAAGGTCTCATTTCCCTCGAACTCGGGCAGCTCCAAAATATCGTTGTGCTGCAGATAAAGGCATTCCAGCTTCCTCAGTAGACCCATATCTTCCGGCAAGCTGGTCAGGTCATTTTGCATCAGATCAATCTTTTGCAGAGCTAAACACACGCAAACTTAGATTAGCAAGTACTTGAGATGGACCAGCACTTACAGCGCATGTTAACAAGATCGGGGGGCAGTTCCTTGATGTGGTTGTAGGGCAACAGGAGCGCAGTTAGACGCACCAGGAACCCAATGCCACCGGGCAGGGATTGGATGTTGTTATGCCCGCCGTCCTTTCGTTACAATTGGGTTAGCAAGCAGTTGGTTAAGGGAGAATATATAGGATGGTATTAGTCAGATAAGACGCCACAACCAGAATTATGTATATTACTATATTTCTATTAAAAGAGCTTTTTGTTCATCCATTTTTAAAATATTTAAATATATAAAGGATGATTATGCTTAAAATTAAAAAAGGATGTAAATCGAATAACTATCATTTCGACGAATTTAAATTATATTTTTAATTTATAGTTCCATATCCTGATTAATGTAAGATTTTAGTGTTATTGTTATCTATGCATATATATTTTTTTTAGGATTTAGAATTTCTTTCACCTAACTCACCAGAAATTCGAGCATATGAAGGTCACTGATGTCCGGATCGACTTCGTTGAACTCATTGTACGAAATGTTGAGGTGTCGCAGCTCAGGTAGACTGTAGATCGAACGGGGCAGCTGGCTGAGTTTGTTGTGGCTCACATTGAGGCGCATTAGCTTTTCCAACTTCCCGATTTCCGATGGAAGCTCCACCAAAGCATTATCGTGCAACTAAAAACTGTTGTTAATAAATCCTTATAACTTCTAATAAATAATAATATCATACAGTAAGAACGGTCAAGGACTGCAGGTTCTCGATCTTGGGAGATATGTGCGTTAGCGTATTGGAGCTCAGGTCCAGGTTGTTTAATGGCACTTGGTTCCACCAGGCGTCCTCCTCTTTGATTGTCAGTTGTTCCAGATTCGCGGTCTTGCTCTCCGCATCCGCCTCGTTGATGTCGTAGAGTCGTTCGGGCACTGAAATGATAAGATTTGGATTCAATTAGAGAACGCTGATCTGGGGAGAACTCTACACTACAGTCTTCAACGCGGGACGGAGGCTCAGGATCATCATCCAGCTCCAGCTCATCGTCCGGATCCTCGCTCTCCAGCTCGTCCGCCGAGGAGGCCATCTGGAATTCGCGGATCTGGTAGTAGCGTCGCCTCCGCGGATAAGGACCGCACATGCAGAACGAGGTGAGCTGTTTCCTGGAGGACGCAATCTTGGGAGATTGGATAGTTGGATGCAGTCACACAACCGATGTCGTTCAGCTCACCGAGCTGATTGAACCGAGCGATGACTGGTTCTTGGACGCACCCCTGGAGCACCTTTATGGATCGTCTCGAGGCGCGGATGCTGTCCAGTGAAGCGGCAAATATGTTCCCTGCCTTTTTCAGTTGCCTCCAAGGTCAAGTTCGCGATCACTATCGCTATTGCCTCACATGAACTGGAACCACAAGGCGCTGCTGTCGATGAGGCCGGGGCTCCATTGATGATGACACCCCTCCTGAGTCATGCCTGGCCTGACCTTGGACTTCCAGCGACGCAGTTGCTCCTGGGTCACCACTGCTTACAAGCCCCGCAATGTATGTAGCTAGCTGCTTTTAAGTGAATAAAGATAATCGGAACTCTGTGACTCGAACCATTTGAGACGTTAGACTTTATTATGAAGGTTTTGAGTAAATTGTAAATTTCTTACATTTTGAAGAAAACCCACTAAAATCATAATATAATGGTCAAATTTCGTTTAACTATGTCAAACAATATGAAATTTTAATATATGTAAAGGTAAATACTTTTATAAATCCTTTACTTTATTGATATTACACTTTCCTTTTACATATTTGGAGGATAATGGTATCTTTGAAAAAGAAATCCTCAAAATGGCTTCTGTTAAACATATTAATATAAGAATGTTGAATTGTTAAATTAAATCTTTCCTATAAAGTGAACATTAAGGTAGGGTTCGATAAAAAATAGCGCTCGAATTTGAATAATTAATTTAACGGATTCTTGAAGTTCGAGTTACAGAGTATCGACTACATCATTAATTTTGCCCTATGGACTCACCTCTGGCCAAAGCCTTGTTGGATAGATTCAGGGTGCCCGACTTGCGGGCCAGCTTCCACAACTGCTGGGTGAGCACCTGGTCGTCCTCGTGGTTGCTCCTCTCGTGGAAGATGGGGCGAAAGGAGTAATTTGGCCTGGGCGAGTGCGCCGCGGGGGGCGTTTGGCGAGGACTCGGGGCGCAGCGGGGGATCCTGCTGGCGGAGGAGTTGACCCTGGCGGAGGGCCGACCACGTCCACGTCCTGTCTCGTCGCTCATTTCGCTGGGGCAGCCGTAGTGGGTGAAGCAGGAGTGGCCAAAGTCGAAGTCGCCGCCGAACGCGGAGGCCTGGTCACATTCCTGGGCTCCGTGGAACAAGCTGAACTCCACGCCCTGCGAATCGGTGAAGCTGGCGGGGATCACGGGTTAAATGGGGTCAGTGGAACGCTAAATAGCCACCGAATCACAGGTGAATTCGGTTTTTTGTTAGTTTCTGCGTCGTTTTATTTTGGTCACTGTCAGCCGTCAGCTGTTCGCTGTGCGTTTTCCAACACTGAATGGTGTGTGCAATTCGTTGTCAACGGTAACTATTTTTAAATCACCAACGGCCGTTACTTTTTAATAAGCTTAAATTCTTTTAGTTCTAAAACCGATTTTGGCTTTCCTTAAGAAAATGTAACATAATCACTTTATATTAAATTTAAGAAAGTAAATTAAAAGATTAAATAATAAAAGCTTTTGGTGAACCTATGAAATGAATTGATTTGATTCAAGGTAACATATTAAAAAAACAAATTTATAAATTCTATTAAATAATTTTTGTAAAAAACAAATCGGGTATATTTTACTTAAATACATAAGTTTACTAAAATTCAATTTGCTTCTAAATTTAATAAATTTCTTAAAAAGTTTAAAAATTTCACAACCTAAAAAATTTATGGAAAACTAAATTTAACATTTTTCCAGTTAAAAGCTCTTTTTTTAATATACTTATATCATATTCC